GATAGCATCACTGAAGCAATGAGCATGAAACTGAGCAAACTTCGGGAGGCAGTGAAGGACAAGAAGGCCTGGCACGATATGGTTCATGGGGTCAGAAAGAGTCGGACACGAATTAACGACTGAACAACAAGCGTGCTAAGAAATAAAGGAGGTCAAATCATAGCTTTCCAAATTTTCCCACTTATAAGAAAAAGAAAAGGAAATATAACTAAATCTAGCATTATTCTTCTCCATACCTTTCTGTCCTTGCAAACTATGGCTTCTACCATGTCCATACACCTCTTCACACATTGCCTTTTGTTCTTTAAACTTCTCACTTCTCTCTATCTGAAAAATCTTATCAACTCCATCCAACAATGACTTTCTCATCTCCCTCTTCTTCTTGACCCATTCATTCCTTCTACATCTGGCTTGTGATTCAATCTTCATTTTCATTCCTTTCAATAAACATTCATTCCTTGCAACAAACTACATACTACCCATTATCTTTCTACCATTTGCATGTCTTAAAATGTCTCCATCCCTTTCCCCATCTTTACTAAACATTCCACTAAATACTCAAATTCATCTACTTGCTACGATATATTATCGTATCTGTATAACTTGAACAGTTTAGTCCATTTTCCAAGACTACTTTGGTTTTTAATTTCAAATCTGTAAGTCCTTGTTGCATCATACAATCTGTCTACATTCACTGCAAATCACTCAGATTCTTGTCACTTTTACCTTTATGTCAACTTTCACTTTAATTTTTATTTTAAAAAGCGAGGCTCCTTCTTGCAGCATTTTTACCCACTTTCAAAATGATTTTTTAAACATTTCCATCAAAATCGTTTTTTAATTTTCTCTTTATATTCTCTTTATATTCTTTGCAAATCTCTTTTTTGCTTTATACACATTATATAGTATCTTTCACTAATCCTCATTTTTGGAAGCAGTTGTTCTTTTATATGCATTGTTGCTCAACCACAGGCTCTTTCATTTCATCATTACACTAAGCATCCTTTTTCATACATCCCATTAAGGTAACTCCACATACTTTTGTGGCATTCTGTAACATAATTCTTTTCTCTCTGTTCCAAGCACTATCTGTATCTTCCTTTCTTGCATTCACTTTCCAAGCATTCTGTTGGAAGATTAATCTATTTTATGTATTCTTTTTTCATACAGGTTCCATACTATCTCTTACTGCAGTTGTCCTACTTTAACTCTAATGTCTTTCACTTTTCCCACCTTTTGTTCAGAAATCCACTCTACCAAAAAATGAATTGTCCTACATTCAGATTGTCCTTTTATCACTATTCACTAATCTCTCACTCTTTCCACATAAACAATCAAATCAATCATGCTTTTTATATACTCATTTTTTTCTTTTGCCATGTATACATATGAACAGCCTTATGTTCATATCAAGTACAGTGGTACCTCGGTTCACGAACTTAATTCGTTCCGCGACTCTGGTTGCGAACCGAATTGGTCGCCACCGAATCAAATTTTCCCATAAGGTTCAATGTAAATACGGTTAATCCATTCTGAACCATACGTATTTTTTTTTTAAACCACAAAAATATGAAGCAAAGCACAGTACAGTACAGTATGAAGAGAGAGAACACTAACCTTGCTTGAGGCAACTTCTGGCATGGAGGACAGGAAGGTGGGTGGGGAGGCGGTTATTTTTTGGAGGGGGGGAGCCCCCCCCCCCAGAGAGCCACGACCACAAGGTAAAGGAGGGGAAATGGGCGCGGGTTCCGGTCCGTACCCCGC